ATCGGAAGAAGCAACTCGGAGCTCGCTTGTGTGAAGGTAACTTTCAACCTTTCGCGTGCTTCTTCGGCCAGGACTCGTAAATCAGCCGAACTAGGATTTATTCCACTGTGAGATTTACGGGTTGATCAAATCCGGTTTGACAATATTTAACCTAAATCTTGCTCAGCCTCTACACAAATCTTGTATAAGTCTGATTATGATTATAATTAATTATAAATTAGACTTAATTAATTTATAATTACTTTTAAATTAATTATAATTATGATTAATTATAATTACTTTATTACTAATTATAAATTAAAATAATTAATTTATGGTTTATTTTAAATTAAATATAATCAATTATAATTTAATTTATTATTAATCATAAATTGAATATAATTAAGTCTTTGCATTTATTCTTTTTGAGTTCAATTATTTTGCAAAAGGGGAGACGCCGGGAGGCTGCCGAAATTTCGGGTGAACATAATGCTACATTTGAACTTAATTGAACTCAAAAAGAATAAATGCAAAGAACTTTGACTTGAGATTGTAGTTTTGAACAACTACAAGAGAACTTGAATTTGCAATTTGAACTCAAAAAGACATTAATGAACTAAGTGCAAATTTGAATAAAAGGCTTAATTCAAACTCAAAATCAAACTTGGACAAATGATGATGGACTTGTGTAAGACTTGAGTCGGACTCAAGCTGAACTGAACTCGAACTGAAGTGAACAAGGTGAACTTTGACATTGAACTCAAACTTGTGGATATAAAACTTGAACAAAGAACTTGGACTATAGGGGACTCAAATGAATGAAGAAGACTTTGGTTTGGATTCAATCTAAACTTGAAAGAAGAATGACTCAAGATTGTGACTTGGGACAGTCATAAAGAACTTTGACTTAAAAATGATATCAAAACTTCAAATGGAATGTTAAGGAATATATCATAACTCGAACCCAAGTGAACAAATGCAAAGGACCTGATGTGGACTCAAACTTGCATTGAACTAAAAAATGACACAGAACTCAATTGATTCATAAAGAGTTCAATTTGAGTGATTATAAAAATAAACTCAAAGATGTCAAATAGTGAACTAGAGTTTAATGAAATGGGAGATGCAATGATGTATCCACAATCAATAGCAGAGTTTCAATGAAATATCAAATGATCATCATACAAACATCAGTATGTGAACCTACCACATGAAATATGAGTTCTCTTCAAAGTCAACAAAGGACCCATGATATATGACATGCATTCAAATGAACATCAAATGGAGGAGTGATAAAGAATTTGATTTCTTGAAGAATAATCAAGATTTCTTGAAGAATAATCAAGATTTCAATGAAACTATCTCCCAATCAAAATGCAAGCGCTAAATTGAAAGGTCTCTTATGAATGGTGGATAATCAATAGCATGTTCAATAAATCTCCTAGAATGAAGGATACTAAAAAGTGTGTGATGACCATGATCACGGGTCCATCATGTGCAATAAATATGGCAAAGGTACAAGCAGAGAACTGGAAATGTAATTTGATTGCAAACAGATGTACAAAGTCCCTTAATAATAGTGCAAGCTGCATATGAATGACGACAATCAATGTGTAAAATCCTCATACGTCACGCAAGAGAATGTGAAAGTCTCTATGATTAACGTCAAATGTCTTGCGAATATATATAGTAGCTCCTACAAATACTAGGAGATGTATAAGTAAATGTGGTAGTTCACCTTTCAACATACACGGAGAAATTAAGAACAAGTACATGCACCTACAAGCTGTGTAGTAGAAGGTAATGGAGGCTATATCACCCTCGCAAAGGCATAAGGATGAATTCATATATCACCCTCGCAATCACATCGAGCTATGGATGAATGCATCTACATGCCTATAAACAACAATAGTAGGTGTACAACAAATATTGAAAAATTGCAGCAAAGGCATAAGGAAGCTCGTCATGCATACAACATACAGTGATAAATGCAAATACCTACAAGAATTTGTAGGGGAGCTGATGCCTAGAAGTGCAATCGAAGATCAAAGACCCAGAGCAAAGAAGTAAAAGAATTGTGATAGATGCAAGCATTACAAATCAAGGAAGGAGATTAGTTAGTGCACTACGATCCACTTGCAGAAAGCAAATAGTGCGCGACAGTCTACCTGTACAAAGCAACGAACAACTCAATTTAGAAGCTGCTATGCTAGCGCCACCGGATCTGCAACACTTGTACAAGCAGACAAAAGGCGCTTACAAATATTTCAAAGAACTCCCGTACATGCACTGTAGTTTGTATACACATAGGTACACTAAAAGGGTAAATACAATCACACCCGCATAGGTCCCGACGAGCGTGTTATTGGTACACACGTGACGTCTAGGGATGCTGCATGAGTTATTAAATTTGAACCTGATCCTTCTAAGTAGATAAAAAGAGTTGATAGAGTTCAATTATAAAATGCCCCCAAACACCCGCATGGGCCCCGACGAACGTGTTATTGGTACACACGTGACGTCTAGGGATGCTGCGCGGGTCGACAAGTGAATTCAAGTTCGAACCTGATCCTTCTATACGGATCAATAGAAGTCGACAAGGTTCGAACCTTCAAACAAATACTCGGTTGTGGGGACCGGCAATTTTGTTTTAATACATTCATATCAGGTATTCAAGGCCTATAATTAAGAGAATTCACTCACAAAGGCATAAAGCCTACGAAACCCGATCTTCTATCGACAGCTCGATAGAATCGACAAGGTTCATCAATAAAATACAAATATTTTCAAGTGAAAATGACCCCACGAACACCCCGATGATGGCCGTGTTGAATGTTTATCTCAACCGGAAGGGTTCACAAATACTTTCAAATGCCATCCAAGCTCCACTCAAATATCCAAAATCCTACAAATCATCCAAAATCCAAAAATTCTAACTCCAAAATATATCCATCAAAGTACTTAAAGCAAAATCTATCCACCCTCTGCAACAATTTGCCGGGATGGACAAATTCAAATTTACTTCAGCTCACAAAGAGTCAAATGCCTAGTCGAAAATATCACTAGAATCCATTATCAAACAAGCTCATGCTAGTAAGGACGTGGTACGTGTCCTCTGACCGGCGGTTTCTCGCATTTGTTTGCTCTCTGCATCGTAAGAGCGTCCCTCCCCGGGACGTTGGCTGTTGTGTCTGTGTACGAAGCTCGCACTTGTTCTATCCATCTTCTTGTTTACATAAGGACGGTCCAGATACAACTGGAATTTCTAATAGACATAAAAGATACTTCGCATAAGCCTACGTGATGGATTGGGAACCAATATGGATACTTCAAAGATAAATTAGAGATTACAAACTTAAAGTAAATGCTGCGGTTACTTATTATTACTTAAATAGACCAGGGATTTATTGCTAATACATTATATCCTACTAGGAATTTTTCAATTGTTTGATACCTTTCCCCAAAATCTTCGATGTATTCATCATACTACTCCATTGGTAGGCAGCCGCCAAATGACACCGCAGGATAAACGGTTATGACCCGGGCCCTCTGAACCGAATGGTTTTGCCGCCAAATGGCACCACGAAATACCGGTTATGGCCAGCACCGATACGCTCCTTATTGGCATCAAATCCTTGAGATATGAATCAATATGATATGATTGATAGGGCACAAAGCCCTCTGTCAGCTAAGGTGGATTCAAATTTGTCCCCTTAGACAAACATTCATCCCAGGTCTACAAGGTACCCTTGGACGAAGTAACCCATGGCTGCCGACAAGGATCCTTCTATCAGATTGGGTCGACTACCTCCTCTGACTAAGTAGACCAGGGACCATGATGGCCCGGGACGACGGAACTATGACATCTTGATCGGGTCCATTATCCATTCCCCCACCATCCGCTTTAACTGCAAGATGGGGAAATTTCTATTTGAAATATCCAACATACCAAATATTTCAAACCTATAAATTCTCCAACATTCTAAACCTATGCTGATACTATATGCCAGATAACATGTATCTCTATACGTATCTGATTGACGACTAGCCTTAATCGAAAGTTCTCTCTCGTTATCGAGAGGGGTAATTAACTATAGGGGCTTGTGCCTATAGGAAACCAGAACTCAGATCATAAAGTCCTCGCAAAATGAGGGCGAAATCTCTGGGTAGTGTCTTATTTACAAAGCCATCTGCCTTCCAAAATTAACCTCAGAACTTATCAGTTAAAACCCCCTAGCCGAATAAAAAGAAAAGCGGGCGGAGGCCGGAGCCGAATTTTCGGAGCCCACAACAGGAAGGAAAAAAACTTCAAAAGCCCAAATTCACCATCAAAATTTGGTACATTTAGCTTTTGCTCGGACTCCTTGTAATCAGCCCATAATAACAAGATTTGGAATCAATCCTAGCTTAGGGAAATTATTTAGATGAGCAGCCAACACTAAATGTACTTCATCCTCTTATTTAATTACAAGAAAATATAACTTTCATTCAAGGTGAATTGGTGACAATGTAACCATCAGCAATTGCAAAGATTTGAAGGTTGGGCACGATATTCCCAATAACACTTAACACTAGGATAACACATCCCTTCCATAGATAGGCTCATAATTATTAGTTCAAAGATTTGGATAAATAAAATTATTCAACATGCCACAAAAGCAAACATGATAAACTATCCATCTGTTTGGGGCAACAACAATTTTTTGAAGGTAGTCATAAAGCTATTGTTAGGAAAACAATTTTCTTAGAAGTTGTAGTGGGTTTTTTCTTTTTTACTTTTTTTTTTTTTTTTTTTTTTTTTTTTTTGAAAAAATTGAAGTTCCTTACAGCTACCACAATAGCAGATTTAGTTCTTAAAACGAGCTTCTCTTCACAATAGTTTTTATGAAACAATAAAAAAGCAGTAGTCAAACATGTGTGATAGCGGACTAAAAAGCAAAGCAATGAAAAACTTGTCCCAAATATACACTATATTTTGCATCATAAAGTGACAGAACTATATTATGCAAACCATTAAATACCTCACAAGCATGTGGAATTTCTTGACCAGTCATCACTAAGCGCATCAGTGCATGGCCAATTTCTGGTTCAGAAGGACAAAGTTCAGCCCATTTCAAAAAATCAGAAAATCTCCATAAAAGTGGTGCTGGACCTTCTTCCTTTTGAGAATCCATATAGCCCCCTCGATGTGCTGCTAATAAACCCTGCACATATCCATAAAGCAAACAACACCCATTTCCAAGGTAAAATGACATTTTGATGAGCTAAGAGTCAACTATAGAGCAATCATTAATAAACAAATGAAATATGCATAAAACATGCCTTCAGGAATGATTCAGCCAGAATCCTTGCAATACTTGCAGGTGGTATGAAATGGGTCTGTACCAAGAGCCTTGCTTCCTCGAGAGAATCTTGTGCCTTTAAAGAGAGCAATTGAAGCAATTCTATAGGCCGTATTTCGAATGCCTCAGAAAATGCAAGTCCCAAAACTTTGGAAGCTTTTACCACAGCTATTATTCTCCAACATATTCCACGACCACAGCCTTCCCCACATTTGGAGGTCAGGGACTCCAATACCTACAAATTTTACAAGACAAATTATCATCACAAACGGCAGAGAACCTGCAATAACATATCTGTCCATTAAATCATAATAAAAGCAAGAGAACACACAATACTTAACAAGCCTTGATTCAAAACTGGCTAATCTGTTACTGTCCACAAGAAAGCTGTAAAATACTATTTTTGAAGAAGGCGTCTATATTAAGTACTAGTAATGAACTATATAAAATGATCAGTGTTGAACCAAACCTGCAATGGGTTAATCGCATGACTGTTAAAATGAATATTAAGAGATTGAATAAAAGGAAGGACTTCAGCATCCATCATTGAACCTCTTCTTCCTTCATTACTACTTGAAGATGAAAGGGAAGCAACCTTTAAAGCAGCATCAACAATAGCTAGTTCAAAAGGCACATGAGCTGGGGATAGTTTATGCTGAAGCTGCTTAGCAGCTGTTACTTGTCCAAATTCCAAAAGGGAAAGAACAGCTCTTTCCATATCTGCAGGCCTCACTTTTTCCTCCCACCCTGAAACCGATGCTTCAATTTTCACATTTTCTTCTTGAAGTGGGGAACTTTTAGATATGTCACCAACAATACTCAGAGTTTGTGGAGATTTGGGAGAATCATCAGAGTCATTGTTGGTGTCCATGTTATCCATGGGACGTTTTAGAACCGGATGGTTCTTGGTCCTCCTTTTGATTCTTGTGCTGCATGACATAGTACCAGAATTGGTAGAATCTGAGGCTTGATTAGGACGGCTAAGTTGCATGCAGTTTTCTCTTGAACCATTCCTCTCGGAAACTTTTAAGCACGTTGCATTTATATGTCCATCCATTTTCTCTATAATAGTGGCAGTTTGCTCTATAATACCAACACTGTTTCCACCGCCTAGATGCTGGATAGAAGACGGCAGATTGTAATCACCTTCTATTTTGGCTTGAGCTTCTGATTCAACGGCTAGAAGCCACACTCTAGTTTCAATCTCCCGCAAAAGGTGAAGAGGATAAACTCTGAAAAAACCAATAATAACTTTAATCAATTCAATCACTGAATCATTATCAGACAACATTAATGAAATTCAATTACTGAAACTTTGCCCATCTTAAATTTAACCAGATAACATCTTACGGAGGGATTTGTGTAATATATCCACTTAACCATTGAAGTGCAAATAAGAGCATTTCATGTAATTCTCTAGCCGGAATCCCCTTTTCAATAGCATCAGCATGTCTAAGGAAAAACAACCCTGCCTGTCCAACAAGCAAAAGGTAAAAAACACCATAAATATCTCAGATATGATATCCTAAAGTCTACTTCAGTTCTGTTTTTAAAATTAAAGGATAACAACCTGCAATGCTGGAAACGAATATCTCACAAAAAGTGTGTGACAGTGGGCCCATAAAGCAGCTCTTTCCTCAGGGACATCCCAGAGGAATTCCTTCCATTCTGCCACCATAGCCTCAGCCTTCAAGAGAGAACACGTGCTATTGAAAATATAAAAACAGCAGCAAACTGCTACAGATATGTTGTATTGCAGTTATTTATTTAAGAGCAAATCAGAAATTAAGGTTTCGTTTGAGATGGTTTTTTTATTGCTTCTAAAAGTAACTTTTTATTACAAAAATTAAATTTTCGGTACTAAAAAGCTGCTTTAAGAAACAGTAAGAAAGCCGTCCCAAACGAGGCCTAAGTAAATAAAATCTCAAAAGACTCCAATATATTCAACATCTTAACTGTATAGCAGCTGCAGTACATTAAGTATGTACCAATCAGAACATAGCTACAGAAAATTTGGGCTAGATTGACACAGTAGCAATTATAAGTTGCACTATAATAGCATTAGATTGTCTCCAAATAAATTATAAAAAATAAAACCTAAATATTTCAACAAGAGAACTGGGAAAAAACTACACAAGAAGTACCTGAGTTTCCGTGACATGGTGAACAGCACATTTCCAAGATGCACCAGCAGACTCTAGTTGCCTTGCCCAATTTCTTGCTTGGTCCCAGCGACCATTATTTTCTAAAGCTGCTAATAGAGAGTCATCACCTAGTGTTTCATCTCCTAAATCTAAGTCTTCATCCTTGCGTAGTGAGGGTTCAGCTAAATTAATTTTCCAGTGGAGTCTCTGAAAATATATAGAAGTGGATCCTCCATCCCCAAAATCAGTCCCTGCAAGAAGTTGCAACAAACACCTCTTTTCATAAGCTGAAGGGCATGTTGAGAGCATTGCTTCTGCAGCTTTTGCAGCTGTCGAAATAATCCATGTGGCCTTTAGTATACCATCTCTTTGCATGTTTGCCAGCATATAGAATGATTCATCTTTTATTCTCGATGAAAAGGATGTTAGGTGCACTGACGCTTCAGACAGTCGCATTTGAAAAAATGCCTTCAATTACCATTAAAAAGACATATCAAACTTCAATTTAAAAAAATGATCAGGGGCGAACAAAACCAGACTATAAAAAGAAATTGAAATTGAGCACAAACATGCTAGACAGGATATAAACCTGAAGGGACCGTATAAAAGGAAGAAGCGCGCATGATGGTAGAAACAATTCAAAAGCTCTTAGCAAAGGAAGAAATAGATGCTGTTCGCAGAGAACAGCTACCATATTTGACAGAGAAGTAAGGGCTTCATCAGGATCACTGGAGATCTTGGATTGCTCAGGAATTGCACTTGTTTCAGACTCATTGGATAAAGTTTCTTCGGAGACAGAAACTACCATAGGAGTGATGTTAGTGGAGCCAGAAGAGGGGCTGCCTGATGAAGGATCCAAAAGCCTCCTTCTCTTAGAGTTTCTCCTATTGTAATGAAATGAAAGAGTTCTACATCCCGATGGCAAAGCATTGGTAGCCTCTACAGCAGCTTTTACATTTTCAGCAACTTTGGAGGAAATATCATTCACCTTGATTGATGATGTCTCTCTTGAAAACATGAAATTTTTTTTTTAAAATGTATATATTTTCCATTTAAAAGAATACCAGTTTATTAAATTAGAAAAGAAACTTGCAAATCAATTATAAAATAACCATTTCCAAGTTGAATGCAGTTAAAAGGAATCAAAACAACAGCAATATACAAATTGCACCCAGGAGAAGCATTTCTAACCTTGCTGCTGTAATCTCAAGCCAAACGGTTAGACATGAAACTGGAGAGACATCAGGAAAGCATGAAGCAATCATAGCCAATAGAGACCACCTGAGATTTTTGGCTTTGATGAGAAGAGCCTCACCAGGATTTTTTTGCCTCTCGCACATTGCAATTAGTCCAAAAAGTTCAACGGGGACCATAGTCTCACTATCATTTGCAACGACCATATGACTGCTCCCTGAGGAAGTATTTAATGAAGAGCTTTGGTTTTTCCTCATTGACGGCATACTTTTCAGTACTGTTAAAACATGCATCTTCAGTCGTGGATTGCTAAACTCCTTAGCCGCCTGAAGAGCCGAAGGGAAACAATCTCGGGTTAATTTTGTAGAAAAAGTACATTTATCCATTCTAGACCTGCTATTTAAAAAGCAGTAAATTCAATGGACATCAATTGATCTGTCTAATGCATCAATTACCACTTTGATAACTGTATCCGTTGGAAACAGTCTGATCTGAGCTTCCATTAGAAACCCAACCTAGCAAAACCATATCATCAGATTATCAGCAATGCTCTTCTAATAAAGTGCTATACAGACAATAGATAGATAAAAAGAAGAAAAAAAAAATCAAGATTACCCAGTCATTGTCATTCGCAAGTAAAGCAAGATACTTTATACTCAAAGGAAGATTATGAATCTGACAAAATTCTGTAACCAGTTTCCAGTGCTGGCTTGCATCTTTTTGCTGCGACCTGAATTCAAATCCGTCACCAATACCACTGGAAAGCCAAAATCCACATGTCTTGCCTTCTTCTAGTGATGGCAAACTTGCTTTTTCCAAATGTTGTAAAACAATTAAGAGTGGTTGCAACAGTTGTTTACCTTTAGAATCATTGACTTTAACTTCCTTCTGCTTCATTGGCATAAGATTGTCTTGGTATATATAATTATCAGCTAGAGCTCGTGCAAGAGAATAGGTGATGTCACCTTCATGGGATTCAGCATAAATGGAAGAACCCTTAGGTGAAACATCATGAGTATTTTGCCTGATTGAAGTGTAATAATCAGAAATACGCAGAAGTGCAGCAATATCAATACGAAGCATGCTAGCAGATACTCCGCATAACTCCAGCAGGAATGTGCATGAAGCAACTAGTGCAGGATCATCAAAGTGCATAACAGCCAATTGGATGACCTGTTAATTGTATTAAAAGCACAACGAAAAAGCAAATACATAAGAGATTGCAACAACAGTTACATTAGAAAACCATTACTGCTGCTATTAAATGCTTAATTAATAGAAAGTTTAATAATTTCAAAGGTCGTTTACAATCACAGATTCAAGCTAGAATTATCCACATGATTCAAGCATAGTACCATTTTGATGACGTACCAAATAATTAACCTTTTGATCGATGATTGACAATATTTTTTAAATCGCATACACAAAGCTGCAATAAATTACATAACCGCAAGGTATTAAGGTTGAAGCAGGAAACCTACGGATGGAAGAAGGGACCACTCTTTAAGGCTCAAGCTTGATAATATTGCTTGGACATCTGATTGAATATTGGTTTGCCTCAAAGGTTCTTGATGTTCAGTAGCCTCTTTAAGTTTTGAAGCTCTTAAACTAAGTAGATGGTTAAATGCTGCCAATGCACGGCTACGATGCAAATGTTGCTCCATGCCCGACCCATCTTCCTGAAAACAGTGGAAGTACAAACTGAAAGGGCAGCGACAGATTTTATAAAAGGGAAAACAAGAGTTGAATCAAATAAATGACATCACCGAGGACTCCTGAATTTTTTTTTTCAAATTCTTCATAGCATGCATTGATTTAATTATCATGAGAGGATTTTCTTAAGCTAAATGGTATATCATATAAAAAATGATTAGTGTTTTCATTCCCAATAAATTTCATGAAAGTGGTGTAGGACGATAGGGGAGTGTATTTGACATAGATTAAAGGTACAATTTCTTGAAATCATTTCAAAGATAAAGAAAATCAATAAGCCGCAAACTGAAAATATTCTTTGAATAACTAAGAAACTTCTTAATTTCAAGCGATTTGCAAACAAGGGCTTCAATTCTAAAATCTGTATTCCATTCATTTTAAGGAAAAACAATGTATTACAACGTTTACAAGGTAACCAAGGCTCAATCCTAATATGTTTTGTTGTTGATAAACGTTAATAAAAATAACACAGAAGGAAATAAGCAAAGCCCAAACAAAGATAAGTGGGGTGATACAGTACTACCAGGCTGCACTACTAGAGTACCGTGGACTGTGCTGGTGAGCAGTGCCATCAAAAGTAACTTTAGATGATAGAAATAAAGCTCCTACAAACTGCATCATGGCATCTGGTTCTCCACCAATTTGGACATATCACGGGGGTCTTTTTAAGTATTATTTTACAATTTTTATGTCTTTGGACAAAATTTATGTCAAATTTATGATTTCTATACACCTGAAGTCCTTGAATAGCCAAAATTTTGATGCTCCTTGGACGTAAAAACAACAAATAAAAGAGAAGAGATGATGAGGACATCGACAGGCGCTGCCGACATGTTTATCGACGACGGAATCGCAGATCGACGGCCACGATTCAGCGCCTCTACTTTTGATTCAGATTTCATGATGTATTATTTAGTTATTTACTGTTTTCCGTTTTTACCCCTTTGGGGAGTTGTTTTGTTATTGTAACCCAGAGGGCAATTTCATACTTTTCCTTTTCATGAGTGGAGACCTATATATAGTAGTCTCATATGTTGTATTGGGTTAATGAATATTTTGAATGAAATCTTGTTTCTATTATCTTCTTCTTCTTCTTGTGGTGCACTAGAGAGGAGAATGAGAGCCCAAGGCGAGGGCGAAAGCAATACCCACCAGTCATTGGAAGAGTCCGTGACTCGTGGTCTATCCCCTTCATCCCGCTCTTCTTCCTCTCCCTAACCCGCCGGCCCTAGCCTTTCTCTTGGCCGCCGGCCATCCCACCTCCACCACTTGTCCCCAAAACCCCCCCAACCGCCAGCCTCCTCCCCCATCTCCCCACTTGTTCAGATTTTGAAAATTCAAAATTGATTGAGTTCCAAAATTTCCAAATTTGTCAAAAGCCAAATTAGGAAAGTTTTCAAATTCAAATCAATTTGAAATTCAAATTGAATTGGATTTCATCAACAAGTTTCCTAAGGCAAAGGAATTAATTTGGAAGGCTCATAACTCGCTCCCACCTCCTCCCCTCTCCCTCTTGAACCCGCCGGCCACCCATGGCTTCCCCTCATTAAATGCCACATTAAACCCCTCCCCCATTTGAAATTAAAAATTAATTTCAAATAAATCTTCCCCCCAAAATTTTCAAATAAACACCCCCTCCCCTTTCTCTACAAAACCCGCCGGCACCGCCCCTCGCCCCTCTGGCTCCCATAACTATGCCCCATTCATGCATTTATTTTTCTTTGATTTGAAATTCAAATTTTCAAATCAATTCCCTCCTAATTTAATTAAATCTGAAATTAAAATTCAGATTTTGATTAAATTCCTAAACACTCCACTTAACCTATTTTCTCCAAACCCTAGCCCCTCCCAACTTGCACCCGCTGGCCTCCCCCTCTCCTCTTGGGAATCTCGCCGCCCCTCTCTTCTCCCTCTCCCTTCCTCGCAAACCACAAGTGCTCTCCCTCATCACTCCATATCTCCTCTCTCCTTATTGGTGCTCTTCCAACACCGGCAAGAATGCATGGCGGATCCCGAGATCGATAGCGAGTTGGTGTTCGACATCTACAGCGATATTCACATCACCCGTTCTCCGTTCTTCGACGTTAGATTTGACTCCGACGATACCGTGGAAGAATACCTCAATCGCATCCTTCCTACTCTCGTGGACGTCGTAGACGATCAATTCCAAGAGTACAAGTGGATCATCGTCGGCCACCCCTCCACCTTCCTCTCCACCGGCTACCGATCCACCAACGAAGATCTTCGGCGTCGTCTTCCTAGTGGTAATATCCTTCTTCGTATGGTTCATCTTCCTCCGCTAAAGCTTACAAGTAGTTGAGTGAGAAGGCCCTTGAGGTGAACCTCTCGTTGTTAAACGTTGGATTATATTATGTGTACTTAGCATTTAATTTTGCCTTGAACTTTGAAAGAATTGTTTGGTTATTCTCTATTGCACGTCTATGGCCTAAGCGAGTTGAATATTTCAAATTCATAATTCTCTTTTATATGCTAGAGATAAATTTATATGAGCAAAGCTTTAATCAACTATCTTTCTAATTTCTAAATATAACTCCTAGTAGTTTCACATCAAGAACAACATAGGAATACCAAAATATGACAGATTTTCTTATTTGTTCTTCAATAATAAAGCAACATACAATTGATCTACTGTTTGAGAGGTAGTCAGCTTTCCCACAAATCCTAAATGCCGCTAGGAACTCACAACAAACACTAGGAAAATAAACTCAGCAATATTATATCCTAAACCATAGACAAACTCCCCCTTAAATAGCACTAGAATACAATAACACAATTAGAACATTCTTAATCAACATAAGCATAATTTAGGAAACCTTCCTAAATAATTAAATATGACTTAGAAAACCTTCCTAAAGAATTAAACATGATTTAGGAAATTTTCCTAAACAATTAAACAAATTATAGAAAACCTTCTTAAACAATTAAACATTTCCTAAATAGCATAAACACAATTAGAAAACTTTCCTAAATAACTCTCCTTGATTAGGAGCCTAATTTTCCTTAATTAGGAACTTTCCTAAATAACTCCTTGATTAGAATCCTTTCACTTGATAAGTACCTTCTAAACAATAAACCCGTGATGCTGAGAATGAATTGGCAGCTTTTTTTCAAGGGGAATAAAATGTATGATGATGCACTTATGCATAACAGACTTGGTTGGGACATTATCTCGATGGAAGCTGTAAAAGAGCTCTCTAGTACCTATGGATTACATAGAAGTCATGAACTATCCAAGAATGGGTAAAATATGTGGGTCTACATCCATTCTTCCAACATACGAACTAAATTCTTAAGAACCGGGATGAATAGGTGCAGCTCTTGTTGCAAGATATTCAACTTGTTTCACATCAAAACTAGAATCAATGACCCTAGGATTGCCACCATAAGATCGCCACCGCACCGATAGATTCTTCCTCCTCCAGTGCAATGGTTGTCGTGATCCCTCCATGTTTCCCTCGTGCATTGAGCGTGGGAATGCCACCTTTCTTCCCTCTGCCTCACATGACCCAATCCCCATGGTTCAACCCATCATCCTTTTTCTCCGGTCGTCCCCATGCCCGAAAGACCTCCCATAGTGGTTGGCCACCATCTGAAAATCCTATTCGGCCCCTTATTAGAGCCTTAGGTAGTGGCTCTTGATCCCCTCCTTCTCTAATGGCCGCTCCCCTTGCCCAAAATATCTCTCATAATAGTAAGACGCACTACCACCTCCACCAAAAATTTATCTCCTTGTTGTCCCCTTATCCAGAAACCCTGATTCGCCCCTTATCGTGGCCCTAGAAGGTGCTCTTGAAAAAATAAAAAAAATAAATAAATGAGGTGGCTCTTGATGAAAGAAACTCTCCTCGCCGAACTCCTCATGTCCGATCTCATTTCCCTTCAATTTGGCCTAGGGATCACAGTCAAATCTTGGTAGGGTTAGCCATCAGAACCACCATTGGAGTTTTTGATTGCATCTCTAAGAGCTTCCTCATCAACTCCTCCAGAATTTCTTTTCCCTTTGGTTCATCCCTGTGAATAACCGTCAAGGCCTTCGATTGCATCTCGATCAACTTCCTCATCATGTCTTTGTTAGACCAGTCCATTGGATCGGTCCACGCAGGACCACCCCAACGGAACAGAGGCGGAGGTTCCGCCTCATCCGGTACGCGGGATCAGACCACCGTTTTCTACAGAGCCCTTTAGGAAGGTTTTTGAAGGAATTTTATGAGGGAAACTGAATGCAGGGATAGTTTAGGGATTTCCTTTTGATTTGTATGCATTAAATAGTTCGTTTTCCTAGGATTAGGGCATCTTGAATTTGGATGAAATTTGAGATCTCTTAGATTCAGGTTTTCTTTGGCCTCTAGCGACGTCTAGAGATTTGGGAGAGATCAATCCTCCTCTCGAATAGAGGATCAATTGTATCTTGCTACAAATTATCTCCTGTTTTTGTGGTTTTGAGTGGATTTTGGAAGAGAAAGCGCTCTGTTTTCCAAAGATAGATAGGAAATACTTGAGACCTACAAGTGTTTCCTATCAATCTTCCAGGTTAAAAAGTCTTCCATCCATGGATAAAAACCTTCGTTCGATGGATGAAAATCTCTTCTCCATGTTGGATTTGATTTGCTTCATCTTACTTTCCAACGCCACCACCTTCTTTACTGTCATAGGTCCCAAAAAAATGTTTTGATACTAATTTGATGCGCTTTGGACGTAAAAACAGCAAATAAAATAAAAGAAAAGCATAGGAAAACCAAGATAGGGATGATTTTCTTATTTATTCAATAAAAAAATAAGATATAATTGATCTATTATTCGAGAGGTAGATCGGCTCTCCCACAAACCCTAGACGGCTAACCATAAGCCCTAGACACCATTCAGAACTCACACCAAATACTAAGAAAAATAAACTCGGCAAAATTATACCCTAAACCTTAGACAAATTCCCCTTAAATAGCCCTAG